AGATATGGTAATGGTAACATGCAAATGTATGATCATCAGCAGCAGCAGCATTCAGAAGAGATGAACGATTATTACGGGCAAGAAGATGAAGAATACAACGGTGTATTGTTCAGAGGTCAACGTGAATTTGTCAATTCTCGCGTCAGCAATGCGCATTCACATCAGTCAGCCGTACACCACCATCGTTCATCGAGAGGTCTATCGCTGAGCGGTGCTCGAGGTGGTGCTCGCGGTTATATGCGAGGTGGCGCTTTTACAACTCAACGTCGTGGCACCAGTATGCCACATCAAACGCTTACGCATAACCAACAAAGCAGACACAATTACAATGATCGTTTAAATCCAAGACGTTCCAAAAGACACGACCAACAACAACCCTTGCAAGAGGTTACAGTTGTTTTGTTTTTTGCATTTGTTCGAGTTCTTAGAAGATGCATTCATCCAACTTCTTAATGGGCATCTTAAGTGTAATTCTCAAAACTTCAATCATATAACATATTCATGACAGAGCGTATATTTGACAGAAATTTTAGTGTTTTGTGTGAGAATGGTTATGATTTTATAAAATTAAAATTTATTTGTTTAAGGAGGATAATTTCGCGAATATGGGTGAATTTCATGTGGAGGATACGTATGAATGCATAGGATCGCCAGCAGTGCAATCGTCGAACAGTGGTACGGTTGCGATGGTTCAAGAATCAGTTGGCGATATGGATGAGGGTTACGATCGTTCGAATGTTAACGGCAACGAGCAGCATCGACCCCAACAGCGCCAAACACGTTCTCAACGTAGTAACGCAGGTGATGCCTTGTTTCTGAGAGTATTCACTTCGTACTGTTTTTATTTGGGTCAGAGTTGAAGTAGTAACCATANTGCTAGTAGTAGTGGTAATAACAGTGCATGAATCATAGGTACTGCTCGTTCAATGGGACGCGGTGGTCGTGGCAATGTGAGCGTTTCATCACGTGGTGGAGCATCGAATCGTCGTTCAGATACGCGTAATATGAATACATCTTCGATGCAGAACTCGACAGCTGATCGAGGAAAGCGAAAAAAGGAGCAGTCATCGACGACAATTCGTGAAGAAGATGAAGGAATCGGTGTTGCCGATGAGGATGAGAATGGAGGCATAAAGCCGCAAGGTAATCGGTCTGAACAACAGCAATACCGGCGAGGTGGTCGTCGTACTCTGCAGCAGCAACAACAAATGAGACATCGTCGTGGAGGTGCAGGCACAGGTCAGCGTTCACCGTCAGGCACACACCAGAACACAAATGAACGTGGTGCTGGTGGTCAGCAACTGAAATCACCGGTCACCTCAGAAGGTCACGAGGAGTGGGCAACAGCCTCTGAAAGTAGTGATGTGGCTGACAAACAACAACAGCAACCGACCACTGCAACTAATGTAAATGCCAGTAAAAGGCGTATAGTGGCAGCATCAAAATACGGCGCAACAAGGAGAATGACACAGAGAGGTGGGCCGCAGAGGCGTGACAATCACACTAACGAACAGAATGCGAACAACAACGATGAGACGATACCAGCCACAAATAATCAACAGCAAACAGGAACACAACGAATCGGTTCAAAAAACGCGAAACCCGCCAGCACTACGTCGCACACGGTCGTCCGAAGCACCAGCAGCAACAGCAACGCTCAACCATCGAAAGAGGAAATGAACAACGCATCAGCGGCGTTGGGAGTGAAGACTGAAGCAACGACTACGACGAATCAAACGATCAAGCGAGAAGCCTGCAAAGACGGGCTGGCGGGAGTGGATATTAACAATGCAGGCGTGATTGTCATCGATGACAGACCGGACGACAACTATTCCATTGATAACGACGATTTCGAGGAGGTGCTCTCGAAGAAGAGTAAAAAGTTGAGACAGCAACAGATCAATGAACAAATTGAAGCGGTACGTACGTTCATCANGAATGCTTGTAAACGGTGATGCAACAAACCACATCAACGGAACATCAACAGAGCAGTCTCTCAAGGTGATCACTAACAGAGTTCGTTCAATCAAAGCATTACTCGTACTAATCCTGATAAGAGTGTTAATTCAGTGCAATTAATTCGATCGTTGTTTCAGATAAAAAACAGTAACGGTGCACTGCAAAGGTCAAAAACTGGAACAACAACTCAAAATGATGCACAAAATACTTTGAATACAACCGTATGGAACAGCAGTATCGTTAAAGAGCACAATGTGCGACAGTCCTCACCACCGCTTGAAAAGTCCTATTTTATTCTGCATTATCAGTTTCTTTCACCTTTTGCTACTGAGTTTGTTGTATACGTTATACGTAACAACTTCAATAGTGATAGAAATAATAGTGGTAGACATTCATTCCCGTATGATTATCGTGAAATCAGAATTCGTCATTAGTTCTCATACAGCAGTATCGCATTATTGGATGGATTCTGAACTGTTGGATCAGACGAGTCCAATGATGCGGCAGAACGAACCTCTCAATAAGTTTTCCAAGACTGATTACTCCGCCGTCATATCCGCGATAGAATTCAGTAAAAGAATCGTACCTACATGTTGAGCAGCTTCATTACTGGAATGTGTATTGATATTGAACTGCTATTGAAGCAGTAGTGAAAATCGATATGGATAATGCTAAAATTGCGTCACTGAATAAAGAATTGCAGTCATTCGGTAATTCCTTCTTAATAAATAAAGAATTGCAGTCATCCAGTAATTCCTTCTCCGATCGCAAGACCCACACCAAAAACAAGTGTGAGTTCAACAACAGCGATAACGACCTCAACGACGTCAAATAATACGGCAGTCGGTAAAGGAGTTGATGTTTGGGCTGGACCTGATGACGAACAGACACTGACCACTTCTAAGAAGGTCGAGATTCATTCATTCTTTTCCATCCATTCTTGTAGTTGCATTATTAATCTACACACACCAGCATGCATCTCCATCTTTCGTTTACGTTTGGCTCATGAAAATGATCGATTCGAAGTGAAATGTTGATTAATTGCAGTTGGATGAAGCGGTTGCGTCAGCGGCGGCCAAAAAGAATTCAGTTGAATTTGCAGCAAGCTTCAATTCACCTTCGAGCCGTAGTGAAAGTGCTCAGTATGATTTCACATTCGACCCATCGCTTCAAGATGAGTCTCAACCACTTGTGAGTTCTTTTCTTTGTTTTTCATTTGAGAAGATTGGATAGCTGATATTGATTATTGTAATATTGTGATTCATTTCGAGGGTTAAGAAGCTATGAGAGTTCTTCCCAATAGCAGAAAAATCTACCTCATCTCCAAACTGTGTTATGAGAATTTGACGGTGTCGTTATTANTAATTTGCTTCGATTTTTCGAGTGTAGAAAAGTGGTTGATAACTGTAAGGGAATTATTCAAGAGTGAATTCTCGCTTTTGCAAACGCTGGTTTATCAGTTCTCTTCAATCTTTTCTCTTTTGAATGTGCTTCTGCTATCGCTTTTTGTTGTTTTCAATCTTCACTTCTCTGTCATCTGCTATTTGTTAGAAATTTGTTCGCGAAGATAGTCGTTATGCTCTGAACGAGGCATGGAGTGTTTGTTTGGTTGGTTTTTTGGTGAAAGCTCATTTCAGTCATCGAAATCGAATCATATACACTCAAATCCACTTCCGCATGTTAACTCACTAAAAAGTACAACGGCAAACGCGGATAAAATCATCGTTGTAACATCATCGAACGGCACCAAACAGCAGTCAACAGCAGCAGCAGCAGTACCTTTGGTGGTACCGCCCTCATCAACTTCACTAGTTGATTCAACATTGGACGCGAACGATTTGAAACAGAGACTCGATAAGGTGATGCGATAGTTATTAATTTGAATGCTGATCTCAGTGAATATCGATTGATTGGTCGATTAATTGGTCGAGGTGTTTGTGTATGCATAGTGATTGGTGATTGTGACATTGGTTGTTATCATTTCGCTGTGATTATTTCCAGTGCATTCGATCATTTTCACAAGTTAATTGTCACTTGGAAACGTCATTTTTTGTGTGACACTTTCTCATTTGTGATTTTGGAAAGAATGTTTCCATTACAGATGCGAACGATTGAGAGGATTAGAAGTTGCCTCTGCCTGGACTGCTGAAATGTTTCAGTGTTTTCAGAAGTGGAGACTTCTCTTTTTACATGCATCTTTTTCGCAGATAAAATCACAAAATTTTGGGCACATTTGTACACTTAAATTCAGAGTTTACATTTAGCTCTGCCTACTGCAAATTGATTTGAGTAGTGCACAAAGGATTTCCTTTCATGAGAAATTACATGCATTTTGTGCTGAGGATATGAAAGTGTATTTTGATCATATTATAGTTACTTGTTGAATATTTTATTAAATGGTGGAAGAAAGGAATGATTTTCCCGTATATTCTTTGAAATTACAATTCGTTATTATGATTATTTATTGGGGGAAAAGATGGGAGAATTGAAGTGATGAGGGATTGATTATTTAAACATTTCCTAGACGTAGTCGCTGTTGTTTGTGAGTGTTTTTTTTTATCTGATCGATATTCTTATTTTAAATTGTTTAGGTGAAGGATTTCTGGCCAGGTCAGCAGCAGTTCTCGAATACACTATTAGTGACAACAAGCGAAAATGGTCCGATCACATCCTTAGTGAATGATAAGTCGACGACGGCCGTTACTGCTAACGCTGCCACGACATCCTCATTGACACATGCACCGAACGTTGCTAAGGTTCGTTCTCATTNCATTATTTCATTTGCTTCATTGAAGTTATATAACGTGTTGTATTGATTATTCAGGTACGTCCTCAACCGCAAACTAATGACCAGTCATCAGCAGCTCCCCTGAAAGAGAATGTGTCATGCACGTCATCGGCACCTTCGCTTCCACCGCCGTCTCCGATTGCATGCATACCACCTGGTCAGTATTACACCTCGTGATATTATCGTTAATTCGGTTGTGTAAATACGATTAACGTCTCGAATGACTCATTTCAGGCGCATATTTGCAATCACTTTCGCAAGTACCACCGCCGGCCGCCGCACTAACTCATTACTCGATGATTTTTGGTGAACCGTACAATCCACATTCTGCAACCAGTTCACCTGCACAGGTTTTATTCTTTTGTACTGTTGATAATGCATTGCTCAAAGTGTTCGCATAGAGAAATGAGTTGTGTAACAACTGCTTAATTTTGAAATAATTGCCAAAAGGTGTTATTTTTTCCAAGTTGATTTCATATTTTGCGCACCGAAATACTTATTAAGCAGACTGATCCAATAGTCTGTATACTAGTTTCAATACTCTGTATACTTGCAGACCTTATTTGGAAATGGCGTGTCCGTAAGTCAGGCACCTGGAAATCGGTCAAGACCAACGTCGTTCATTGATCAGTCACAACAGCTATTCATACATCCACCGCCAAACGGAACCACACCGAGCAGTCTAACATGGTCGAATGGTAATCCGCAAATCGAACTACTGGCCGGTATTAACGCAACACCGCCGTTACCATCACAACCTGGCAGCGCCGTTCAACGATTTCAGTTCTCCTCTCAGCCACGTTCTGGATCAGCTTTCAGTGCACGAGCGGCACTGTTGAATGGGAGTGGTAAATTGTTGAGTGGTCCGCCACCACCTCCTCCCCACATACCACCGCCACTACACCCACCTCATGGTTTCATCGCACCACCACCTGACTTCGTCTCACTGCCAGCCAACGCTACCGCGGCTGCTGCCGCTGCTGCTATGGGTGGTGTGAGTACGAATCAACAGCAACAAGCCCAAGCACAACAACGCAATAACGATATTACCTCGCAAAATTCTGCTGTAGTAGCAGCAGCATCGAACGCAGCACTGCCACGTAGTGCTGCAGTTGGTGTTTTGGGTCAGTTACCGCCTCCACATTTGCAGCAGGTTCGTTCGTTTTCGTGCTATTGTTAACGCGTTTTTTGAATGCATTCATGAAATCAACTTGCGATGAGAANAGCCTCAACGATCAGTGTATCTGCCAATCGTTTGGAAGTCGACAGTCACTGTAAACTTACATTCACATTGTTTTCAGCAGTTGAATTTCCCGTCGCAATCTCAGTCCGGATTCACGTTAGCTGCGACTGGTTCGTTCAGTCAAGCTCCACCAATTCACGCTTTCACCGCACCTCCTCCCCCACTGCGATACCCACCTGTTGTAGCTGCAGCAGCAACACTTCCGAATGATGTCACTGGTGTTTTGACAGCCGGTTGGACCACTAAGCCCTCCGTTAACGCATTTCCCCTCAAATATACTAACGGTTCGTTGAGTTTTTCATTTATTTGTTTTCGTTCTCGGTATTCACTTATCCATTCTAACAGTTGAACTAAAACTGATCGATATTAACTTCCGTTTTGAATATAACTAAAGCTATAGGAGGCGCACAAGCGGCAGCTCCAATCGGCACGTCAAGTGCTCGTTCAGCAACGCAAATTGATCGATGGACTGCAATACCTGTAGGTGTACCGCCACAATACGCAAATGCTCTTGTTTTCCAGGTTATTCATTCGGAATTCTATTTGAAACGTACTTTTGTTAGTTATCGTTTATTAGTCAGTGATAGCAACCTCTCATACTCAAAACGATTATTTGCCCCTTTTTTGAAACATTATCTTTTTAGGTTATTTTTTGAGAGAATTGATGATTTAGTTGACATTTTATGCTCCATTCATATCGAATTACATTTTCGATTCCATCTGGATGCATTTTGTTGTAGGGGAGGTGATACCGATTTGCGCGCCTCAGAATAATTCATGGAATATTGCAAGTATCAGTTATTCCGATTCCATTAATTTCAGTCTGCGGTCGCGGGTAAAGAGAATGCGGCAGATGTACTTCAGGCGAATATAGAGCAGCGTTTCCAATCGTCTCAACGATGCACAAGCGCACCGCGTGCGTCGAGTGCTGACGAAAACGTGATACGTCGCAACAGTACGGTGTCGAGCGTTGCTGCAAATAACAGTAACGATACTGCTGCAAGCGCCGCTAATTCCATTGATAACTCGAATCAACAAAAGAAGGCGACCAAAGTTTAGAGATAATGAAATGAAACGGAATGAATGACTGTCAGAGGAGGTTACATTTCTGTTCTCCAATGAAAAACATTAGAAGAGATGAGGAGTAATGTATTTGGTCTGTCGATGTCCATTTGCTTGTTCGCTCAGTTGGTGGGTCGTTTCTGCCCTCTCAAATAGTGTTTCGGTACCACAAACTCACAAATTCTTCGATGTTCGACTCATCGGATGCTGTTCTTTGTAGCGCACAAGTGGCAAGTTTCGCAAGCACTTCAACACAAATGTTCATTTGATGAAACATTACTGCTGTGGTACACAGCTGTACATAGCGTTACGCTACTGTCAAGTTCTTGATGTATTTCATTGTGTGTGAAACTTATCAGCACGATGTTCTTACTCAAACAAACCTGCTAAAAAACGCTGTATATCAATCATATCGGCATCATTATTACTGTTTGATTTATTCCTTCAATCATATTTCTGCATCACGAACGCATCATGCATACACATACATGTATTGTCGTACAAGAAAGCAATTCAGTTTGGTACATAAATATTCTTCATTCGTTTATTTTCTGAATTATTTTTGTTCTTTTCATTTGGTGTTCTTTACACTTCGTATCGTTAGAGGCAACATTCATTATCTCGTTTATTTGTACCGATATTATACCACATTTTATTGTTAATATATTACCATTTTGCTATTCTTTATCATTGTCGTTGTTGCATCTTTATTCTAATCCCATTATCAGTTACCACGATCAGTTCCACCAGAGCATCATATTACGATGTTTCACATCGTCATCGCTTGGTAGCTAGCTATGTTCGGCTGAACGAAGAATTACTTATTGAGAAGGTACCTAGAGAAACAGTTGTCAAAATCTAGTTTTTCCATGTAGAAAATGGATATTATAAAATGGCTCGTATCACTGAGAATTTATCTAGTAACTGATAATGGATGAATTCGTAACACGCTTGGAAAATGTTCATTAGTAAATTAAAGTTGAATATACTCATTGCGCAAATATAGTGAAGTAATGCATGAATGTCAGTGAAATAATTCCATTTTCGTTGTTCGCTTTGTTTCTATTTATTTTCCTAATAATGATTCATCGTAATGATGGATATCGGATTCTCATTAGAAAGTTTCTTGTGAAATCAAATGAAATTGCTTAGTAATAATTTATAATCTGTATGCTAATTGCTTTTTCTATCATCTTTTCGTTGTTCATATATTTCGTGCTGTTTTCTTGTGAACTTTGTTTATTTACGTTTCATTTAGTTCATTTCAATTGGAGGGTCATCCATAAGTCAATGATTAACGTTCAGTCAACATATTCATCCAACTTGGTGTAAATATTTCAAAGCTTTTTCTAGTGTGTTGTTCAAAGGATGTTCATTCTATATTTATTTCAGTGACTGTGGATGATTCAACTATCACTATCCATAATGGTTTTGATTATCGCAGTGAATATGATATCCTTGTCCTGAAATAGGGTCAGGTGTTCTGAAATTTGATTAAAGAGTTGTTTAGATTTGGAAGTAATCTCGCCAAACAAACTTCGAATTATTCTCATCTCATGGATATCGTTCTTATGAGCATTGGTGATATGTTTAAATGAAATCAGTGCAGCTTCTTCGCTTAATTTCAATTTGCTTTGAGCATGTTGTAGTGTGATGAAAAGTTGCCTCTGTCTTCATCCTCAATACAAATTTGATTTCTGGAAAAAGATTTTCTGAAATTATATTTGGTTGGGTGAAACATGATGACGATAGTGGCTTAGATTTTGGTTCTTTTGCTTGGTCGTTGCTTTTGTATCATTCCAGTGTGGGTGAACGAAAATTCGTTGTGATGTTAATCGTTTGGTGAAAAAGTGGAGTTTACGATGAAGTGACTCAATGTGGAGCTTGTTTGTCGTGTAGTTCACATTTTACTCATCTTCATGCGGTATCGTCATGTGAGAGTCAACAGCAATCTTGTCTTTATGAACTTATGCTATTTGTTGATAAAACTGAACGTTTTTAAGTGTATGTGGCTATGTATGTGTGTGCTTGTGTGTTGATTTTTTTAACCACAATAACGTATTCGCAAGGTACTCGAACTGACTATTTCTTGTCGATTTTTCTGATTCATTTTGTTTTCTTCCATTTTTTATAGATTCGTATCCCTCTTCCTGTTTTCTTTATTAAAGTTTCCAGCTATTCACACCGTATTCAGCTGCTTTTCTTATGGTTTCTCTTCATGATCCTCATTTTATGAATAATAGAAACTTGTCGTTGATATCGATGTTTTGTTGTCATTGATGCATTTC